AAACGCTTGCGCACCTTGCGCATCGCGAACTTGGCTTCGTCTTTTGCAAACACCACATTCCGCGCGGGCTTCCATTGCATCATGCCTCGCTGCTGGCGCTGCTCGCTTCGTTTATTCGCCTTCTCGCTTTGTCCTTCGCTGGGCCCGGCTTCGCTGTCCTCGGTGGACGGCTTGCTGGAGCTGCTCGGTTCGGTAGACGAGGGGTATGTGTTGGCCGATTGGCCGGTCGATGGACGGCTGCGGCTGTCGGTGGAGGATTTCGGGGCTTGCTGCTGCTCGTGCGAGGGGCGATGCGCGGCGTCCTCGAACTCGCCGGGGGTGCTATCGCTTCCGACCCGGGTGTGTTCGATGTCGGCGGGCGGAGGGTTGGTCGGATGGAGCGGTGGCTCGTCGCGGCCCGGCTCGGCGATCTTGCCGTCGTCACTGAGGTAGGCGCGCGGGTCGTGGCCAAAGGCACCGCTCCAGTCCTGGCCCTGCTTGTCGAGCCATTGGCGGCGCTCTCGAGAGTCGGCGTGCTTCAGGACGTCGCGGCCGTTGACCAGGGATTGTTCGTGCAGGCGCTCGACCTCCTCGGGCACTTCGACAGCGACGCCGCGGGTTCGCACGCCCTCGGCGATGCAAGCCTCCCATGTCTCGAAGGTCTCGCGGGAATGGTTGTCCACGACGAATTGCTCGTGCGATTCGTCGATGCCCGGCTTGAAGCGGCCGGTGAGCTGGAGTCGGCCGATCTCGTGCATGTCTTCGAGTCCCGGCTCGCGCTTGGTCTCCCAGTTGTCCTCGGTGATGTAGTTCTGGGTCAGGCGCTTGCCGTTCTTCGTGGCCCAGATCGGGATGTCAATGGGCATGTCCTCGTTGTCTATCAGGTGCTGGAGCCACAGGACCGCATATCCGGTGGCGTGGTGCTTGCCTTGCGCGTGGAATTCAAAGACTACCGGCGAGCGGTACCGGTGTTTCACGGGAAGAAGGACGTTGTTGCGAAGGGAGCTCAGATCCCAGACAGTATCCGACCCATCGATCGAGCACACGTGCCTGGTGATCTTGCCGCTACTGCCGCCGGTGCGTAGCTTAATCTTGAAACGCTGATGGACTCCGCGAGCGATAACCTTCTCGGAGGCAAACTCGAACGTGCCGACGTCCCATCCCAGCATGTTAGGGGGGAGCTTGGTCTCGACGTGCCGGAAGAGGAGAGAGATTCGGATGCGCCCAAACCCAATGCCGCCATCCAGAGGATACCAGCGGGTGACTTGCGAGCTCGTCTGAAAGAGGTCCGAGAGCTTCAGCGGGACTACTCCTAGGATTGGGTCGTGTTCTCGGTATCTTTGGTCTCGAACGGTGACAGTGATGATAGCTGATCGCCAATCGCGCACAAACCTTTCGGTTCCGGCGTTGAAGATGGGCTTGGAGCTGACAGCCTTGGCTCGAGTGCGGTAAATCTGGGATAGGGTTAGCCTCACAAGGTCTAGTTTAAATCAAAAGACGGGTCGTTGTTACCAATTGGTCGTTCAGAACGATCTTGCAGTAGCTGGTAGGCAGCTCCTTGCCCTGCTCTTCGGTATTCTCTCCATACGGCTTGGCTGGTTCGTACTCTTTTCCACTTCGAAAATGACTTCCTTTGATATTGGCGAGCTGGAGATTGACAATCTGATGGACCACGACGCTCAAGATGCCACTGGGCCAAAGAGGATCGGGAGGCGTGTGCACAACGGCGTCTTCCTCCTCGTTAGTAATGACGCCCTTTTCGTCTTGGAACTCAGGAATATCCTTGAAGTTATCGGGGAGATCCTTCTTCTTGCCGTCTGTCCTCAGTTCCGGTCGCAGCCTCGGTTTCCCGAAGAATCCAACCTCCCAGTGCAGTTCACCCGGCATCTCACTGCCCTCGCTCAGGCCTTGCAACTTCGACACCTGAGGGTACATTCGGCCTGGGTGCTGGATCATTTCTCGAATCGGCAGCTCGACCTTCCCAACGATATCATCGGCGGTGTTGCGATCAGAGTCCCAGAGCTCAACGCTGAGGCTTTCGTCGGCCTTGATCAGCTCAGGGGTGACCAGCAACGCAGCCGTCTCTTCCCAGACGGGGTTCAAGTCATCCGTTATCACCCGTGTGCAATACATAGGTTTGCCGTACTTTGAGAAGGAAAGGTTGATGTAAGGGTCACTGCCGCCACCATAGCTGCCGCGTCGGTCCTGCTTGCTCAATCCACTCGCACGATGAATCCGAACCCACATGATACCCAGGGCCTGTGTTTCCTTGAGAATGTCATCACCCCTCAGCATCATGCTGAGATCCATGGTCATCGATTTGGGGGCCGCAAACAGACTGCATGCCGTTCCGATGGCGTAGTTAACGAAGTTGGAGATTAGGGGCAGGTTCAGAATGTTGACACCTCCTTTGACCATGGGCATACAGCCAGCCTTAATGTGAGGAATTCCCACCAGACTGAATGTCATGTCCTTCATGAAGGGTGCCTCGGGCATCATCTGGAGTCGCACGCGCACGGTGCCCACCATCTCAATGAGCTCGACGAAAACGGGAAATGGAATGCCGAAAAGGCCTTTCATTCCCAAATAGAAGACCAGCTGCATATGCATGTTGCGTGCTTTAGATGACGCAGTTTGACCACTTGGCTTGGCGTGGTAGGCGAACGAGACTTCGATATTGTAGTGACTGCCGCCCTCCTCGATTGCGGCCGCTTCTTGGGGGTCTTTGTTCTTGACATTCTCCTCGTGGATGTTTTCCTTGAGGTTTTGCACATGCTCGTCCGGGAGTGCTCGTAGACTCAGAATCCGTACGGGGTTATTCCCCTGATCGATCTCGGCAATGCGAACATTCTCGACTACACCTGGTGCAGATGCTTGCATGATGTCTTCAATGGTGTCGGCAACGGGGGACAGCATTTCCGGGTTGACTAGACCCCAGACGATACCAAGGAAGCTGTTCATCCATTCGACCGACTCTGGCAGAAGGTTCGCCGTCGCCTTGCGGTAGATCGTTAGTAATGGGAGCTTCGTAAGCCCTATTTTGTCCATGACTTACCATTTGGCCTCGAATCTGCTCGCTGCTCCATTCCATTTCACGGCCACTCCTGACGACTTCTTCCACCCACAACCACACACCGCTGGCGATAATGGCGGCCAGCGGAAGCAGACCCCATAGCGAGGTACCGAATATACGGCCTACGAAAACAATACCCACCACGATTCCGATACACAAAGTGGCCCCCCGTTTATGTAAGTGGTCGTACATCGGTTTGTAGGATACTGTGGGCGTAGGATGGAAGAGAACATTTGTTTTTTCGCCATGAATGGGGACGTCCGAGGTGGTACCCTCTGCGATGGGGTCTGGGGGTGCGGTGATGTCCTGGTTCTCCTTATAGTCGGCCAAGCTCTGGCTGGTATCGGTTTTGACCTCCTGTTACCAACACATTAACGAATGATCGTGTCAAACTCAAGACTGATCCAGAACAACTTACCGTTGGCCTCCCCAGATTGGCATTGGGAACCACCAACTAGAAAAAAGAACACTTAGCAACCATGCCATCGAAGGGAATCAGGCAGGGGACTCAATACCATCGGATTCTTCACGGTGTCCATAGAATCTTCATCCTGGTCCTCGACCTCAATCTCCCGTCCCGTGGTCGGATCCGTCACCATCCTAGTCTTGCCCTTGGGCACTTTCCGCGGTCGATGAGGCGCGACATCTCCCCGGTCTTCGTCCTTCCCTTCTTTCTTTCTCGCCTCTTTCGCTTCTTGGTCCTTCTTCTCCTTGGCTATTAACGCCTCCTCGTGGATTCTCCGATCTTGTTTGTCTTTCTCGAGATGCTCTAGGAATTTATGAATGGTCGGCACGGGGTTATGTCCGCTCCAGTGTTCGCCGATGCGGTGTTGTCGGGGGGACTCGGTCCCATTGGGATGAGGGGGCATGGTATTCGGGGACTGTGTGAAATGAAATTACCGATGTGAGGTGATCAGAATGGCGGTATTAATGGTCGGAGGAGAAGATGAGATGATGACGTTATAGTGTCAACGACGCTCCCATCGTCTGGGAGCTTCACAAAGCGACGGGGATGAAGTACTCGACGGACGGTCGGAAGCACCCAAGAACTCGGGTTGAATTGAATGAATAGATAATACTAATAAAAAGATAAAAATAAAAATAAAAAAAAAGATAAAAAAGGGTCAATTGAAATCAAATGAAAGGACTGAATGGAAAGAAACGTAGGGGAAAGGCACTGGTGAAGTAATGCTGCAATCTGCCCTACGTCATAAGTGGAGGGACCCAGGCTGGCCACCCAATCCACAGCGGACGCGTCCACGGCCATCCCGGGGGAAGACCAACTGGAAAGTCCTGGCAAGTAACTCAAGTAAGGTTCATCCACTCGTCACCCCAGAAGGAGCATGTCAGTCCGTAGATCGGTCAATGGGACGATGAAACGACGGAAGCCGGGCAGTTGCTGGGCCTTTCTTTGTTGATGGTGCGTCATCGATCGTCTCATGTTTTCCCGCTCAACGTGACTTCATTCTAGGCAGGCCTGGCCATTAATTTAATGTGTTAATTAATTTACGGAGGATGAATAACATGTCATATTAGGATGGTCAGCTTAATTTAGCTATCCGACGGTTCGGTACAATTGTCATACTACTTTTGATACATTATCTCTCCCCTGTGATTTTCCCAAACTGACTATAGGTCCTCGGAACTAAATAAACCAACAACTATACTCATCTTGTTGCTAATAATTCAATATAATTTTTCTTTCACTTTCTAAACTAAACTACTCGATTCTAGCCAACACAAGTCCGATAAGACACTATATCGTGCCTTCCGAGACATGCTGACTGAATCCAATGGGTATTCCATCTACCAGCTACAAGGTATCACGGGAGACATCTGTTCTTCTCTACCTCATGCGAGGCTTGAGAAGCTATTAAGATTCTTTGTGCTATAGAGATAATCTTTCAGACACACTGACTATATCACATAGCAGCTATCACTTCCCCACTTAACTCTCCTCCCCCTTGCGCAGGATAGGATCATACGGACCACTCCTATTTCTCGCATGACCCGGATCACCCATGTCGCTCAGCTCCACATCATCGGGCATGAATTCCTCTTCCTCGTCGCCGAGAACAAAATACTCGCCTTCCTGGTCTGCTTTCCAGGGCATGAGGGCGTCTTCCGATTCATCATACCCTTCGCGGCCCTTATGCTGTTTCCGTTTCGTGGAAGCCCGAACCCAGAAGACCAGGCCGACTACCACGCCCACCAGGACAACGGACATCAGAAGAATCCAGAACCAGCCGAACCTGGCCAAGAGCATGCCGCTGATGACGTTCACCCATCCAACGATCAGAATCAGCCGTCCGGCCCAGATGTGGGTATGTGAGATCCAGGTCCGGTGCTTGATGCGTAGAAAGGCCATATGGTGTCGCCAGCCGAGAACGCCTTGGATGCCGAGGGTGAGTGACACCACCAGTCCAGCGATCTGGTGAGGGGATCTGAAGGTACGGCTCATGACGATACCAAGGATGGCGCCGACGGCGACGCAGAGGGAGGCGACGAGTTGGATCATCCAGTGGTATTGGAACGCTCGGCTGGAATGGGACCGCATGGCGATTACGCCGCCGGGGAAGAATAACAGGAATGCGAGCCCCATTAACCAGCCATGCGCCTGAGCGACAGGCCCGAGACGAGGCCATTTGAAAGCAGTCGATGATTTATCGGTCGTACCTATCGTCCGAACGCCAGGTTGAATAGATGGAGGGGAGGGCGGCTTCTCGGCGGTATCGACGGATCGCGACATGTCGACATAGAAATTTCCCCATCCGCCGTCTCGGGAGTGGTGCTTGTGCATTTTGAGGTGCAGGTCGCTCGAGAAGTTCGCGAGCTGCTGGTTATCGTTCCATGCCCAGAGCCATGGGAGCGAGGTCGCCGTTGCCGAGATGGGATGATCTCCAATTCCCGGCCAGGACGTACAGGAATAGCAGACGAGGGCAACCTTGGCCAGAAAGGTCGGTGAAGAGGACGGAGAGTCGTCGTGAGAAACGGGCTGCCAACTTGCGTCGAGGATACGAATGTCTGTACCACCAGCGGTCTCGTTGGTTAGCAGTTTGGGCTGACGATGCCCCTCCACCGTCCTCACGCTGACAGTCGGAGGCTCCTTCGAATTGGGATCCCCATAGACAATCACCATCAGCGAGCCTGCCATGACGGGACCCGTGCCGATTGCGGTCCAACCGAGATCTGAATCTCGCGTGACGGTCATGCTGAGGTACATGTCGTAGGCATCGGAAGACCGATTCTGGTGCATGGCGACACCCATGCAAAAGTCGACTTCGGCATCTCTGGGGTTTTTGTCGTATCCGAATTTGCAGTATTGGACGGGCTTTGCGAGAATGGTGGAGATGTGATAGATGATGGCGAGGAAGATTAACAGTAGTCGACGAGCTGGACTTCTGGCCATGATGAAGTCGACATTAAGCAGATAACCAAGAAAGTGGGAGTGTTAGACGCGCTCAGATTAAAATGGATGGCATAATGCCGCGAATTCCAGGAGATCAGGAATGCCAGATAATGACCACGGTCGCTTGCGGGGTAGGAAGGCAGAAGTTACATCGAGCAAGTCCCTTGGTTCGCCCAGAATACGGGCTAGTCCAGTGAGCGCTAAAGCAGGGCGATGCCACTGCATTGGCAATGCACCGTTGCTGTCCTTCCTATACTTAGACGGCGCTATTGTTTCTGTCGCGCATCTGGACAAATCAGACGCAAGGGTTATCAAGCAACGCTCGTTGGAGTTGAGCTCGACATGGGGCGGTTTTTGAGGGGCTTTTGCTTTTTTCAGATACTTTGATGGTGTGTATTTGATTTCTTTTGTTGCTTTAGCTCTCTTCGACATAACACTTCTTCTGTTTCTCTCGATTTCCAATTTCTAGTCTTCTACTGTCAGGTAGGGTGGAGAGGAGCTTCAAGTCTGTCCGCAGAACTATATATAGCTTGCCGATGTGGCAGAGACAGGTGAATGTTGGCTCAACTATATGCTCTTTCGCGATTATACAACACAATTACATTTTTCTAAACAGTGACAACACAGTCCATGTGTCAGAAATATCCGAATCTACACTTTATACTACTCTGTACTCTATTCCGTAGACACTGGTAAAGAGACCCGCCACCGGTGGCTAGAGTGCACAGGCCACCCGACAACACCGCCACTTTTCACCGTCGACGATCGGGATTTCCCTGGATAAGCTGGGCAATTGTACATCGCACTGACTTCATACCCTTCCACCGGAGAGAGTCAAGAAGTGTTCCTCCACACAATCGATTAAATTCTCCATCCATCTATACATCCTCGACATTGACATCAACACTGACATCAACATTCGACACCCACAACCACCCGCTCGGAACCATGTCCACAGTTGAAGAATCCCCCGCTCAGAGAGCAGCTCGCCAGCGTCGTGAGCGTCGCGAAGCCAAGATTAAAGAAGGAGGTGCCGCTCGTCTGGACAAAATCACCAGCTTGAGTGGACGCACCCCTGCCGCTGGTACGTGCGGATTGAACGACTCTTCCCTCTCCCTCGAGTCCACCCATATGACCTAATCCTCATTTACTTACTCCCTACAGAACGACAAGACCAAGATGCCTCCCCGTCTCCATCTCCCCAACCCCCGGCATCCATCTCCTCAGGAGTCGACACGCAATCACCAGCATCGCCATCCTCAGCCGCCGCCGCGAATAATCAACCCGAACCCCCCATCGCACCCACCCACCCCTTCCCAGACACCCAGACCCAATCACCCGAATCGCTACAAGCCCAACAAGAAGCCTTCCGCGCGCTGCTACGCCAGAGCGGCCCGCCCCCAGGTAGCGGCAACCAAGGCGGCGCCGGCGGCATGGGCGACCTCACCAACAGCCTCGGCCTAGACGAAGAAGACCCGACCGTCAAGCTCCTCAACTCTCTCATGGGCGGCATGGCCGCAGGGGAAGGAGGACCTAGCGCTGGCGCTGGCGCTGGCAACGGCAACGGCAACAACAACGGGCCCGCCATCTCGCAAGCCGATCTCGCGACCGCGTTGGGACTCCCGCCGTTCGTTGCGAGCATGCTCCCCGGTGGATCCACGCCGCAGACCGAATCCGAGAAGAAGGCCATCTGGACGTGGAAGATCCTGCACGTGGTGTTCGCCATCGCCGTGGGTGTCTACTTCCTCGTGTTGCTGGGTTCGTCGGTCTCGTTGTACGGCGAGGCGCCGCCGCCGCCGGCGACGGCACGCAGTCCCTTTTTGTTTTTTACGACGGGCGAGATGGTCATGACAGGGGCGAGGGTGTTGATGAGACGCGGGAGCGGGCAGGCAGGGCTGGGGATGTATTTCCACTTGTTTCGCGATGTGATAAGGGATGGCAGTTTGGTGGTGTTTTTGCTGGGGATGGGCGCTTGGTGGAATGGGGAGTGGACGGCTTGATTAGTATTCTCTAGATGTTTATCTCTGAGGATGTTTTGTTTCTGTTAAAAGCTCTAGGGAATCTATCTACCTAGAGGAATAGGTGGATGAGCGAGAAATGGTGATTCTTTTTTCTTTAATATCTTATTTGAGGATATGATTCTATGATGCTCTATTTGATATAGTTATTACTTTCACATTCTTCTAAGCGTATCATGCATGAGAAACAGCCTGCAATGGAACCTAGGGTTTGTTTATTATTGACTATACTGGTAGTCTGGTATAAACTTCGAGTCATGTACTCCGGAACCACTGCGAAAATCTCTTGGACCGTACATGGCCGCCTAATTACGAGATGGAAACTCGCTCATCGCCCTGCCTCACTCTGATTCCAAATTAAAGGGTCATGTTGAATTTTATTCTGGGCCGTGCTGGTCTCGCATGATAACCATGAATCGTGAATGTATGGGACGAGCCTTGTCTACTTAGGGCTTGTCTCTTCTTCTTTCTCAGACACTTTTCTACTCCGTATGGATCTACTCCGTTTGTATGGAGTAGAACTCTATCTTTCCGGGTGAGGGCATCTCATCCCCGACGGTATTTCAAATCATGCACCGAGTTCTCTCAAGAAGGGATTGTGATTGACAGCAACATATGATTTTAGTAGCATTATGCAGTAGGTAACTACTCCGTAGTTCAAAGTTAAAATTCCTGTCAGGCGTCAAGAAAAGAATAAGGAAATTAGAGGTGGACGATAGATAAAACTAGTTACTGTGCGGTCGGCCCGTCGCTGGGGCTAAACTGGTGTCTGATAGTACTCCGTAGTAGCAACGAACGAGTCGCTCTTCCCGCTTGTTTCACTGGCAGAAAGGCTTAGAGTAGAAGTTTTCTACCCACCTGCAATGCAATTCCACACCGGTTCATGCACTAAAAGTTAGTGGTGGATGAGGTGCTCGGGACGGCAGCGAACATTGAGTGAAACAGGGCAGGGACCAGGTGAAAAAAAGACAAGAAAAAAGAAGAGAGAAGATTGTGCGACGAATTCTCCGAGTGAATCCGACATTTGCCGTGCGCTGTTAAGTCCAAAAATCAGATTGGACAGAGTACACCGTAGAACGGATCGGCATGGGAGGATGGATTAGCTACCACGTCGGGGTGCTAGGGGTGCAGCAGTACAGTAGCAGCAACTAGTAACGTCGCAGTCCGGCGTCATAGCATCTGCACGACTGTAAGCGTACGGAGTACAAATAGGCGGGAGAACTGATCCGTGATAAGGATTAACATCGCGGTGGGCTCGACATGCCCCGAAGGCTCACTAAGATGGCGTAAAGTCGACGGGCTAAAGCGACTACCGAGTCTACCGTCAATCAAGGATCCTCCGTAGAAGCTAATGCCCAGCCTAGGCCAAGTAGCATGGAGGAAGAGTTTGTCGTGCCTTCCGACATGCAGACCCCATTAAAGTCAGGCGACATGGTTATGGACTGTAAACTCCTCGGGTAAGTCTGTTTTGTTTCATTCCCGATAACCAAGGACGAGAGGCTACGGATAGCACGAGGAAGATAGGATGAAGGGAAGATAACCTTAAAACAAGCGAAGGACCCCAAGAACCGTAACCTCGGGGCGTGCACGACCGAAGCTCCGTGCGACCGTCGTGGGTGCCTGCAAAACGAGGCCGACGGCGAGGGAAGCCGAATGTCGATCAGGATCTCTTGACTCCCTCTTCTTCGGGACGTTGGGAAATTGGAACAATCTGAATCACCATATACCGCACCAACAGAAAGAAGGGAAAAAAATCACCACCCACAATAAGGCTCTCCACAGCCCAGTCCCTCACAGTCCCTCATGGGGTGGGGATGTCCTTGGCGGCTTCGTTACTTGGCTTTGACCGGTCGCATCTTGAATCCCGAAGCATACGTATACGATATCACAGTCACAATGAGGCTGAAGGGTGGTTTGACCAAAATTCGGTAGAACCTGCCCTATTCGAATTTGTCCTGGATAGGCACCCGGGAAGGAAGCATAACGGTGTACTGTAGTAGTTGCCCGGTTCAGTTAAACAGAAGACAAGCAAATTAACTAGCAATGTCCCCGCGGACTCACGACTCCCTGCCAATTGTGGGCAAAAAGGCGCTGTCACCGACAATCCCGGAAGGTGGGAAAGGTGGGAAAGAGGGACGAGTCCGCTGTCAGGCCCTATCACGATGGATGGTCCTTCTTAGTCTTTACAAGGTACAGGGACGATCACCGACCCGCCGAGCAATTAGCGGCCCTCCCACTTTCCTCCTGGATAAGTCATAAGAGCATATGTACTTTCTACCGTAATTCATCCGGGAGAGATCTCGACATACTTCGGCGGATGTGCAGGGACGACCAGCAAGCTACACCGGGTTGAAACCTCCACCCAATAGAGTATTATACCCAATCTAGCGACGATTTTAGGCGGATCCATGGTGCGGACTTGGACTCTGGAGGGTCTTCCGCAACCGGCGATAACTCGGCGGAACCAACCATTGGGCGACTCACCGGGGAAAGCTGGTCTTGCAGCCATCCACCCAGGAATATGGGATGGCAAAGGTGCCACGGAAAGTTTCTGGTGATTCTTGACCTTCATCGATACAGACTCTGTCTAGCTTGCTTCCCCGCACGGAGAGAGCATGACGACTTGACGAGACCGTTCAGCGACCCCTCCACGCCCACGGCTTGGCCGATGCTCTTGTGATGCGGGACTGGCCATCCCCCGGTCTGCTAGGGCCCGGAGACAAGGATCTCGTCGTTAATGACCGGGGTTCTGGTGATATTAATCTAACTCGCTTAGTCCTGCACCCCCAACCGCGGCGACGGGGAGCTGAAAAATCCCGATTTAGTCTTTCCTAAGTCGCTGGAACAAGGGGTGTTTGTATCACCCTGGGATGCCACTGGGGAACCCGGTCAGGAGAAAGGGTGAGGGATGAGAGGAATCGGGCATCAGATCGACCGGGATGTTGATGCGACAGATGAAGGTGAACCGTGGCGGATCGTCGATTCTCTTCCCCGGAGGAACGGAAAGGGAGGCTGTCAAGCCCCGCATGGCCGAGCCCAACCTTTTTGGACGCATTCGGGGCAGAGCCAGTCAGAGGATGGAAGTAAGCAGCCTGAGAGTGAGTGCACCGGGTATACCTAGTATACCTACCATTATACACTCCGAGTATCTTGGTAGATTGGTCCTCCATACCTAGTAGAATAGATGAACAAGATAGAACAAATAAAATACAATACAATAAAATAACATAAAAGAAAATAAAGAAAATAAAGAAAATCATACCCCTCCGAATTAATCCAATAATCCTTAGAACCCCGGTCTAATGCAGGTCAAAAACGCAGTGCTCTCCCATCCTTGTGCTGAGTAGATGAACACCCAAGCCTCCACGTTCCAATGAAATGGCATACGGTCGCCCGGAAGAATGGGTTTAGTGCGGCCGGCGCGACTCCATCCAGAGCGTCTCCGTTGCAAATTGGCTGCCTCCACCGGACACCCGGGGAGCGGGACCTCAACGATTGTCTTTAGACTGTTCGTGTTTTTTTAAATAACGGCCCTTCGTCCCCCTCCCCCAATCCCCATCTCTTTCTGTTTTCATCTTTCCTCCCTCTTTCCTCCTGGACAAATACTACCTGAATCTACTTAATCCGTATACTTCTTGGACCGGCAGCCTTCTTTGCGGAGCGGCTTCCTGATCGACCGACGAACCCCCCCTCTTTTTTCCCTTATATAATTAACTCCACCCCACTTCGGCGGCGACGATAATTTTACTTTCCCGTTGGGTTACAATTGCATTTAACGTGAGTTTAATCCTCGCCACTTTCCGTGGGGAAAGCTCGTTCTTAGCTAATTCTCTTCCCCAAGTCATACCTTTTTCCCTCTCCGCCACTTCTTCTCTCCCATCTTTGCACGACTTAGCATTCTCTATCCTTGCTATCGCAATCATGTCTGACGGCTCCGTTCTACCCTCCAAGCCGTCTGTGGTAAGTAGTTGGTCCGTGAGTAGATGAGAGCGACAGAACAATGACTAATTGCCTGGCATTAGGTGCTGGAAGCCCACGAAGTCGACACCTTCCATGTTCCCAAGGCATTCTACGACAAACACCCCACGGGCACTCATTTGAAAGACCTGGACGAGTACAAGCAGCTGTATGAAGAGTCGATCCGCAAACCAGACGTCTTCTGGGCTCGCATGGCCCGCGAGCTCCTCACCTTTGAGCGAGACTTCCAAACGACTCACATCGGCTCCCTAGAGAACGGAGATAGCGCCTGGTTCCCCGAGGGTCGTCTGAACGCCTCTTTCAACTGTGTTGACCGTCATGCCATCAAAGACCCTAACAAGGTCGCAATCATCTACGAAGCCGACGAGCCCAATGAGAGTCGCACGATTACCTACAGCGAATTGCTGCGCGAAGTGTCCCGTGTCGCTTGGGTGTTGAAGCAACACGGCGTCAAGAAGGGCGATACCGTGGCCCTCTACCTTCCCATGATTCCCGAGGCTCTCGTCGCCTTTTTGGCCTGCTCTCGTATCGGTGCCATCCACTCCGTCGTTTTCGCCGGTTTCTCCTCTGATTCTCTTCGTGACCGTGTCTTGGACGCCGGCTCCAAGGTGGTGATTACGACGGACGAGGGCAAGCGTGGCGGAAAGGTGATCGGTACCAAGCGCATCGTTGACGAAGCCCTCAAGCAGTGCCCCGACGTCTCCAGCGTTCTCGTCTACAAGCGCACCGGGGCCGAGGTCCCCTGGACCAAGGGCCGTGACATCTGGTGGCACGAAGAAGTCGAGAAGTACCCCAACTATATCGCACCCGAGCCGATGGCTTCCGAGGACCCTCTGTTCTTGCTCTACACCTCCGGTTCCACCGGTAAGCCCAAGGGTGTCATGCACAGCACCGCCGGATACTTGCTCGGCGCTGCGATGACCGGTAAATATGTCTTTGACATCCATGACGATGACCGCTTCTTCTGTGGTGGTGACGTTGGCTGGATTACCGGCCACACCTACGTGGTGTATGCACCTTTGTTGCTGGGATGCGCCACCGTGGTCTTCGAGAGTACCCCCGCCTACCCTAACTTCTCGCGTTACTGGGACGTGATCGAGAAGCACAAAGTGACTCAATTCTACGTGGCCCCCACTGCGCTGCGACTGCTCAAGCGAGCTGGTGATGAGCACATTCAGCACCAGATGGCCCACCTGCGAATTTTGGGCTCTGTCGGTGAACCCATCGCGGCTGAGGTCTGGAAGTGGTACTTCGAAAAGGTTGGAAAGGAAGAGGCGCACATTTGCGACGTGAGTTTACCCTTATACTGTTGCTATCGTCCTGTGTTGATAAAACTAATGGGGGGGTTTTTTTTTTCCCTGTAGACCTACTGGCAAACCGAAACTGGTTCGCACGTTATTACTCCCTTGGGTGGCATTACGCCGACTAAGCCGGGAAGCGCTTCGCTGCCCTTCTTTGGAGTCGAGCCCGCCATCATTGACCCGGTTTCCGGAGAAGAGATCTCGGGCAACGATGTGGAGGGTGTCTTGGCCTTCAAGCAGCCTTGGCCTAGCATGGCGCGCACCGTGTGGGGTGCCCATAAGCGTTACATGGACACTTACCTGAACGTCTACAAGGGTTACTACGTAAGAGACTCCTACCATGCCCGCCGGATATCTCTTGGCTGACATATGACCCCAACAGTTCACCGGTGACGGTGCTGGCCGTGACCACGACGGATACTACTGGATCCGTGGCCGTGTGGACGACGTTGTCAACGTCTCTGGCCACCGTCTCTCGACCGCTGAAATTGAGGCAGCCCTGCTTGAGCACAGTAAGTCTCGCTGTTAAAACTTGATTATAAGTATTTTCGTCTAACGTTCTATGGCAGATATGGTTGCTGAGGCCGCCGTGGTCGGTATTGCCGATGAACTTACCGGCCAGGCCGTCAATGCCTTTGTGGCCCTGAAAGAGGGCAACGAAACGAGCGACCAAGTCCGCAAGGACCTCGTGATGCAGGTCCGCAAGTCGATTGGACCCTTCGCTGCCCCTAAGGCGGTCTTTGTCATCGATGATCTCCCCAAGACTCGAAGTGGCAAGATTATGCGCCGTATCTTGCGCAAGATCTTGAGTGGTGAGGAGGACAGCTTGGGTGATACTTCCACGGTAAGCTTTATCTCTCCCTTCTCAGCGGTTCGGGATATTCAAGAAACTAACTTTGGGTTGCAGCTGTCGGACCCCTCCGTTGTGGATACGATCATCTCTACGGTGCATGCCGCTCGAGGCAAATAAGAGAGCCGTCAACGACGAAGTAAATGACTAATGAAAGTACTAAATAAATCCAGTAAAAAAATGAGAAAAGCCCCAAAAAACTTGAGCCCCCACCGCAGAGAGCAATGCTCTCTTGAGTCTATCTCATGAATTGATTCACTCGGACTGGGCTGATAATATGCCGGATGGCGAGTGATTATTGACGCGCATCCTTCCCCTTGGTTATTTTATGTGATTCCCGCCTTCCGTCGTGTTGACAAGCGATCCGATTCCTGTTGATGTTTCTGTGTAAATCATACCATACAATTTATTCCCAATGATCGTTCAATTGGCTCTCGTGTCTGTTGGTTTGATCGCGTGACCCGCGGTTTTGCCTACCAAGGCCTGTCTAGAATCGTAGGAAGAGTGTGCTCCGTAGGTCTTTTTGACTCACATAGATAGGGACTTGCGTATGACCACAATGACTCACCGCCAGCTCACTCACTTGAGTGGCTGTCCTGGTTGTAGTAATTATCATCGTCGAGAGAGAAGTGACTCCGGATTAGGCAGCCTGGAGCAGTCCTGTCCGATATTTCAGGCATCTGGCATCACGTGGATCGACGGCCGGGTAAATAACCGGTGGATTACGGAAAGTTACCAGCCTCGGGCGGCGACGCCCGCATCCATTGCTGCCCGGTTCTGTCACCCTCTGGTAACTAAGCGAAGAGGAAGGTCCCCCCGCTGACTCAGCCAACCTCAATTCCTTCCGACAGCAGCCATCTTTTCCCTTCACCGTCGCGCGTTCTGTTCTGTTCCTCCCTCTGCCCCCTTCGCCCTCTTCCCCTTCCTGCGCGCTGCAGACTTGCGTTCATCCCGGAAATTTGTGTGCATTCTGGCTCTGGCGGTGACTGTCCGTCCGTAGCTAGTGTGGACCCCTCTTCCTCGTTGGTTGACAGCAAAAAAAGCTCCCTCTGAACAACATTTTCACTTCCGTTCGTGGGCGCGTCGAGGATTCTTTCCGACAGACGACGACTGAACTCTTCGAGCTTCCCTCTGAGAGTTTCGCCCACCCCCGTTAGATCGAACCCTCGACTTTTCGCATCGTGGCGATCTTTTTCTCTCGACTTCTCTTTTCTTTCTTGGTCACGGACCAGCTTTGAACGGATGAACCCATAGATCCCAGCATTCACCGAACAGCGTTATGTCTTTCGGATTCGGAGGGTTTGGACAAAACAACCAGCAGAGCTCCGGCTTCGGTACCGGCTCTAGCTTTGGAGGCACAGGTACTGGCGGAGGTAGGTCGCTTTTTTTTCTTTTCTTTATCCCTTCTTGTTTACCTCCGTATCTCTGGCCTTGATCACTTTGGTTTCCTTCCAAACCTGGTTGCGACTCTTATTGGGCCTCCTTATCGGTTGCGATCGGTGCTCCTGACGTCGACCCGCGATGGCTTCATCAAAACTTCTTCCAATCGATAATCTCCCGCGGATGTCCTCGACGATGAGTAACAGCAGCGATATGAGAGAAAGGATCGCAGCTTCATTACAGTCTCTGACAGCGTCTTGACCCGTCATCTAGGCTTTGGATCTACTTCGTCACCTTTCGGTGGAGGTGGTGGAGGTACAAGCTCAGGTAGTGGCCTGTTCGGAAATAATTCCAGCAGCTTTGGTTCCGGTGGAGGTAGGTGCTTAATGACTATATCTCCATGAGCTTTGCGGTCCTTTCTCTTGCTTCAACTCTGGATGGGCGAATTCTACGGACCTGGACTCGCCAACAACGGACGAATACCTCAACTGGCGTTTTAGAATCGCTTTATCTACCTTGATCCATTCTGGTTTCAAAGCCGCCATTGTACCGGCCCGAAAACAAAGGCGAGAGGGAAAATGTCCATGTATAAAGCCGCAGCCGCCCGTCAGGAACTTCCCCTCCGAGGAGTGACCCCCAAAATTTTAGTGCTTATTTCTTTGTCGATTGATTTTTGTTATGACTCGTCAACGACATCCCACACTTCCTCGTACCCGCTTCAAGCACAATCCTAAACACCCCCCTTCTAGCCAGCAAAAACCCCAGCAAAAGCCCCAGCAAAAGCAAAATTCCAATCATTCTCATCAGAAGAAGGCTAACCACCAACGTCAACCTCATGTAGGATTCGGAGCGAACACACAAAATACATCGAACTCGCTGTTCCCGAAACCCGGCGGATCTGGGTTCGGGACCGGTACATCAACAGGCGGCGGCATGTTTGGAGGTGGCACCGCTACGACAAGTGGCAGTGGCTTTGGAAGCACCGGCTTCGGAGCCTCTGCGAACACCGGAGGCTTTGGTAGCCCTGGCGCTGCCGCTGGCGGGGGCGGTAGCATTTTTGGAAACAAGTCTGGTGGAACAGGCTTTGGCAGCTCGGCGGGTACTGGTGGCGCATTTGGCTCGGCAGGCGGCTTCGGAAGCAATAATGCCCCTTCTAATACTGGCTTCGGTAGTGGAGCAGGCTCTGCGTTCCAGAGTGTCCCCCCGTCTGATGGTACCGGGAACACCCCATTCAGTCCATATACCGAGAAGGAAGGCACTAGCAACGTGACCAACCAATATCAGAGCATTTCCTTTATGCAGCCATACAGCAAATACTGCTTTGAGGAGCTTCGACTGGGCGATTACAACCAAGGACGCAGGTTCGGCAATGGCAGCGGACAAGCTGGCGCTTTCGGTAGTTCAGCCTTTGGAGGCTCGGGCTTTGGTGCTCAACAACAAGGCACCAGCACCGGCACCGGCACCGGATTTGGAGCAGGCAATACCGCCTCTCCCTTCGGGGGCGGCGGGACAAGTGCCCCTTCTGCCTTCGGTCAGACTCAGACAACCGGCGGCTTTGGTTCTTCTACCTCCGCCAACCCCTTGTTCGGAGCTGCTAAGCCCGCGAATTCTTTGTTTGGAGGGGCATCTGCCGGTACCTCTCAGGCCAGTCCTTTCGGTGGCACGACCGGAACGGCGGGTGGCTTTGGAGCGGGCACATCAGGAGGCACTGGCGCTTTTGGTGGAACTGGGGGTAGTTCGTTGTTCGGTAACAACAACAACAACCAGCAGCAGCAGCAGCAGCAGCAGCAGAACAAGCCTTTGTTTGGAGCCAGCGGAACGTCTACTGGAACTGGAGGCTTCGGCGGATTCGGTCAGCAGCAGCAAACCAACAACACGGCTTCCCCGTTCGGTGGCGGCGCCAATACTGGTGGCACCTCTTCGCTCTTCGGTGGTGCTGGTCAGCAGCAACAGCAAAGTGGCACGGGAGCATTCGGTGGCTTTGGTCAGCAAAACCAGGCCCAGAACCAGACCCAGACCCAGAACAAGGGACTCTTTGGCGGGTTTGGACAGAACAACCAGCAGCAGTCTGGTGGCACCGGCCTTTTCGGCAACGCCGCGGGAGGAAATACTGGGGGGTCGTCTCTGTTCGGACAGAACCAGCAGCAAAACCAGCAGCAACCGGCTGGCAATTCTTTGTTCGGCGGAGGCGCTAACAACCAGCAAACCGGAACTAGCTCTCTTTTCGGTGGCGCGAATCAACAGCAAGGCCAGAAGAGCCTATTCGGCAATACCACCGGCGGCACCGGCACCGGCGCCAGCCCATTTGGTGGTAGCTTAGGAGGCACCCAGAACCAGCAACCCGGCACCAGTAGCTTGTTCGGCGGTGCTCAAAACCAGCAACAACAAAAGCCCAGCCTATTCGGCGGGGCCGGTGGCACGGGGAGCTCCTTGTTCGGTGGCCAGAATACTGGTGCTCAAAATACTGGAAGTTCGCTCTTTGGCAACAGCCAGCCCCAACAACAGCAGGGTGGCGGTCTTGGTTTGGGTGGCTCTCTCTTTGGCGGGGGCGCGCAGCAGACCCAGCCTCAGCAACCTCAGCAACCCCAACAGCCGGCACCCGGGAGCTTGCAGGCATCTTTACTCGATGGAAATCCTTATGGCAACCAGTCGATCTTCTCAGGCTTGCCCGCTCCGAGTGCTCCCAGTCCCGGCCCATTGGCGACGCCGCTCTCTTCTTCTATCAAGCAAAAGCAGCGTACCCCGTTGCCCGTCTACAAGATTGCTCCCAGTGCCGCCAACCGTCTCATCACGCCGCCAAAGCGTCAAGGATATGGGTTCTCCTACTCGACCTACGGATCTCCCTCCAGCGCCGGTAGCACCCCTAATGGACTTGGCAACAGTCTTCTTAGCGGACGCGCCACTGTCGGTGGCAGCCTTGGACGTAGCAACGGCTTCAGCAAGAGCTTCTCTACCAGCAATCTCCGGAACAGCTTTGACCCGGACTCCCATAGCGTTCTGGCCCCTGGTGCTCTCTCGTCGGTCTCCTCGGGGCCACTTCGCGCGTCGGGCAGCAGCCTGAAGCGCCTGACCATTGACCGCAGCGTGAGCGTCAAGAATGATCTTTTCTCGCGTTCCACCAGCTCGCCTACTGCTCCCCTTCCTGCGCCAGCTGAACAGAGCCCGTCGACCGATAAGACCAAAAAGAGGGTTAGCTTTGATTCTTCTTCTGACGGAATGTCTCCCGCAGCTGTTGTCCCGATCGAGACTGAAAGTGCGGAGCCCACTTCGGAAGAGCTGGGATTCCTGCGCTCGATTCGCAAGAGTAGTACAACCAACGGGACCATTGGCAGTATTAAGACGACTCCCGCCACAGACCTCGCCGTTGTCCCCGAGAACGGTGTGCAAACCGCAGTAAGCGACGACAGCGCTTCTCGGATTTCCTTCTCTCCAGGATCTGATCCTAGGCCTGGTGAGTACTGGATGAAGCCTTCGCGCGCCGAGATTAGTAAGATGAGCCGCGAGGCGCAGAAGAATGTGGTCGGTTTGATTGTCGGTCGCGAACGATGCGGTCAAGTGACTTTCGATGAGCCTGTTGATCTGACGACCGTCGACTTGGATAACATCCTTGGAGGATTGGTCGACATCGGTCTGCGCAAGATCACTGTGTACCCAGATGAAGCCATTAAGCCCCCGATGGGCAAGGGCTTGAACGTCCCATCGACCCTTTGCATCGAGAACTCCTGGCCTCGAGGCAGAGATAAGAACTCCCCCAACCCGCTCACGAGTGGCCCTCTTTTCGAAAAGCATATCGACCGCTTGAGGAAGGTCGTCAACACCGAGTTTGTCAATTACGACAAAGGTACTGGCACATGGATTTTCAGAGTGCCTCACTTTACCACGTATGGCCTTGATTATGACGATGAAGATGAAGGTGAGAGCTATAACCAAAGCACTTTGAGTGCTGCTCCTGACACTCCGACTCCGAAGGCTCAGTCCCCCGCGAATTTCGACAGCACCGTGGGCTCGGAGCAAATGTCCGCCTTTTCTAGCGAAGAATCTTTCTTCAACGACGTGGGAGGGGTAGATGACGACACTTTCGATTTTAAAAAGCGCAAAATGGTCCCGGGCTCTTTTGGCAACCAGGCCATGGAGATGGACGAGCAGTCTGCTTCTGGAGATGAGGAGTCTTTTTTAGGGGAAGGCTCCACGGGTTCAACTACTGAGCAAGAAGGTGATGATATCACCGAGAGCCAGCACTCTGGCGAGTCAGAAGTAGAATCGTATGAAGGTGAGGAAATGGACATGGCGGGTACTTTCCCCAACCTTCATCATACCGTGGAGCAGGACAACACCAAAAGCACCGACCACTTTACCGAGGACACCATCCCTTCTTTGAAACCCTGGGGTACGCCTCCGAAGGCTCGTCTCGATCTTAGTGACGACTGGGCCGAGCAGCTGCAGCGAACAATCAGCCCCCGGAAGCAGGACCGAGACGCACTCCGCGAAATCCAACGCAATGCCTTTGCCGGAAAGTCGCCCTACGCGAGCTCTCCGAAGGAAAAAGGCACGGAATCTGGGCAGAAAGGGTTCTCAACGAGCATTGACCTGATGAATTCGCTGTTTCAACAGCCACGAAAGCAACAAGCACCGAGTCCTCCCAAGGAACAGAATGCGAAGGCTAAAGGCTTTGAGGTAGGTTTTTGACTTGTTGTTTCCAGGGTATTCTGGTGCACAAAACTGACTTGTTCTCTCTCCCAAAGTGGCCTTACAGCAAAACCCCGAAGACCTTCGCTGGCGAATCGAACGAATTGACCGAAGACGACCTTGCTTTCCATCACTCCTTCAAACCTCGTTGGGGTCCCGTGAACTCTATTATTTGCGTTCAAAATGGGTTAAGAGATGCAGGTTCTGACGGTCGATGGCAGCCAGAACTTACTGTCACCAGCGAAGAGAGAGATATTGCTTTGCTCGCATTCAAAAACACTACCGAATCCAACGAGATGCTGGATGTTCAGAGCAAACAATCTGCCATCAACCGCGTCGACGGTGTTCCATTTGCGCGCCTAGCAAATGCCGATTTCCGACAGTTTGCTTCGGTGTCATCGAGTTCTACAGCATCTGACCAGGAACGACTTGTCTGGCAACTGAGCAACATCCTGTTCAACAATGATATTGAAGACGACATCTCTGCCGGCGTGCCGGCGCAACTTCGGGCTAAATATCTGCCTCGCATCAAAAAGGACCGTCTGAGTCGTTTGTGGGAACGCATCATCCGCGAGAGACATGCGCACACACTGGGCAAGGCCAACTCTGCCGAGGAACGTGCAGTGTACCTGCTCTGCTCCCACCGAGTCGAGGAGGCTTGTAATGTGTTGATAGCTAGCCAAAACTTTCATCTTGCCACACTCCTCGCCCAGATTGGTCGAGACCCTACTTCGCGCGCGGATATGGCGAAGCAAGTTGAAATGTGGCGTCAACACAATGTCTACTCGGAGATGAGCGAGCCCATCCGAGCCTTGTATGAACTCCTGGCCGGAAACGCGCTTCACAGCAAGGGCAAATCCGGGGGGGCTCTTGAAGACCGTGCATCATTTTTTACCTTCACTGAGCGATTCGAGTTGGACTGGTATCAAGCGTTCGGTCTCCGACTGTGGTATGCCATCATTGATGATGAACCGCTAGAAGATGCTGTTTCCAAATTCTTCAATGACCTCAGCAGTGGAAAAGAGTCCGCTTTTCCCTATCCTTCTCATCAGGACAACATTCAGGTGCCCCAAACCACGACCGATGTCTCGGGCCGCGAATCCCCGCTGTGGGCTTTGCTGAAGCTTTACTCGACTACCATCGGCTCTTCGAGTCTCCCTGCGCTGGAATTGCCTGCTGCCTTTCTTCCTGAGTCGGTGACTGGTGATAAACTCTCGAGTCGACTGTCCTTCCAGCTGCACCAGCTCTTGGCTGCCACCATTGGACACCATGAGAGCTTCAAGACAAATGCTGCTCAGGTAGACAAGCTGGTGCAGGACTATGCCTGGGAACTCAGCTGCAGTGGTGAACTGGAACGGGCTTTATTTGTTCTGCTCCACCTTTCTCGACAGTTAGATCGCGAGCGCGCCGTGAAAGAAACCCTGGCACGCTTTGCCTCCCGGTTGCCTGAACCCAGCACCCCAGACGGATCGCCCGACGCCACTTGGCAATACCTCACCCACGATCTGCAGCTTCCGGAGGGGTGGATTTGGGTAGCCAAGGCTCTCTACGCGCGTGACATTGGCGATGCGGCCCGCGAAGTTGACTGTCTTGTGCGCGGCAAGAACTGGAACGACGCTCACGCTACTTTCTGCCGCATTGTTGGTCCGACCGCTGTGATTGAGCGCGACTACGCGACGCTCGAGACTCTGGTATTGGGCTTCGGCGAGGCTCCAGAGCGCAAGGTGCGAGGATGGGCCAACGGAGGCGGCATCTACGACGACTTCCTCCACCTTGCTACAGCCAAGCATGGAAAGCGGGATGCCTCTCGACTGAACCGACTCGTCAACGCGTTGGTCACCATGGGAGAAAAGATCGGTCAAGCATCTGGGGTGGAAGGGCTGGAAGAACGGGTGGCTTTCAAGGAGATGAGCCGAGCTGTTGCCAATTGGACGGCTCACGAAGATGCGAAGGTGAGCAATTTTTATGATACAGAATACTGGACATGGACTAACATTTTATTTCTTCAGACGGTGGAAATGTCAAACGTCCTCGGCCTGCCTCTAACGGGAGATGCGCGTCTTGTTCAAATGGCAGAGACGAGTCGGCGCTACTACAGTGTCATCATGGCGGGCGCCTATTAAGCGGTTCCAATGATGATTTTGCATGCCCTTTTTCTTTTCTTTTTCTCTTTTCGACTAAAATCTTGAGTTGTCGTCATCTGCCTCGTTCCATTTCCCTGCAGGCCTTTTGTTTACCATCACTCTGTACACCCTTTTTTTTTGACCCCCTACTACATTACATTGCGTTTTTCTCATCCAGCCAGTTGGTCCATCAGCATTACCCCGTGTATCCCTAGTGTATTTCACATCATGAGTCTTCTATTTCGCCTGTTTTCTATTTTCTTTTTACATTGGAATTCCTTCCGTTCTGTCACCATGTGAAAGGGGGAATTCTTTTTCTTTCTCTTTAATCATTTTAAATGGTAAAGCGCAAAAATGATGATTCCAGATCTTGTGTTACTTCGGCTTTTTAGTCCCATGAATACCGGAATGCATACCCTCCGTTAGTTAGATATCTTCGTCTTCTGGAATACCGCGTAGTATTGATGAATACTGAATGAATTAAGAGTCAAGAGCTACCGAATCTTAATGAGTATTTTGAAAGCATCTATATGTGCACTTGGGTACAAGAACCTGGGTAAATTGGTATTTTGGTTGTAGTTCGCTATGGTGGAGACGATGCTAGAAGAGCTTCTCTGTCTGATGTTACTATGCAGCTCTGCGCAGTAGTTTTCGGGGTTATTATAACTCTACCTAACCCACCTACAATCTCTAGCTTACATCTTGCAAGTGTTCCAAGTTGTAGATATAAGAAAGCTGTTTTAATATATTTTAGAATCAACTATAATATCTTATTTATAGAATATTAAACACTACATTTCTATAGCAGCCGGAACAGAGTCTGTCGAATTTGTTCGTCGCGCGCGCTACAATGTAAACAAGGGTCTTGAACGTCAAAATGTTACCACACATCTTCTTCATGATCATCAAAAGGAAAATGGGAAAGGATTGCAGTTCTCTCCATCTCGGTGCTTGAATGCTCCATCAAACCATCCTTGATGCTCTGGATGACGGCCCGGCACCGTTCCAGCTCATCCTCACCTGACACCCAGCCAAGAGCATCGGTACCGACGAGGTCTCTCATCTCGCCCAGTTCCTTCAGTTTCTCTTGTTCTCGGCAAAAGCCTTCCACACATTTCTGTTTCTCTGCCTCGGAAAAGTGAACCGGACACTCGGCACTAGACCCTACTGTCTCCGCTCCTTCGTCCAGCGATAGCGGCCACCTCTGGAGGGCCTGGAGCATGGCATATTTCAACGAGATGGAGTCTCCTTCCCAGGGAGCCTGCGCGTGCTGGAAAAGCTTCGCCCGAAGCATGCAGCTCTCACTTCGGATGGCGTCGAAATGATCCGGCATGGCTTTCATCGTTAGAGCGGCGTAGTAGAAGTGGACAATCCGCCTCCGCATCGTCTCCTGAACGCTTGCGCGTTCTTCGTGGCTGAGTTGATCGAGGTTTTCAGGCAATTTCACCTCAGGTTTGGAGAGTGTCTCGGAGACTAGGTCGCCCCAGTTTTGAAAATGATCGGGGATGCCGGCGCAGAGGCAGAGAGGTAGGATGGCCGCATGTTGCCAGTCAAGGATCCCGACCACATCGTTGGAGGTGTTGACCAGGATATTATTAGGCGAAAAGTCCGGATGGCGAAGTGTCGGGCGAGACATGCAGTGGTCAGATGGGACGTCAAGGTACGGTGCTAGTTTTAAATAATCGAGTAGAAGGTGTTGGTTTGGAACAGGGGAGAGGTTCTGGAACTGGTGTAATTCCCGTAGGTATCGTTCGACATGGAGGCGTGGTTTACCAAACCGGTGACAGAATTCTATTTCACGCTTAGCGGGTGCTTCAAAGCACGCAGCAAAGGTATCCCCTGGCGGGAAGTCAATATTTACAAAGAAAGATAGAGGTAACTCCAGAATGGAGACTTACATGGGCCGCGATCAATCTCCAGAGAGGTTCGTTCTTGATACCACCATTCATGCTGGGCAGTTGGGCCAACGACAATATCGTCTGAGACAGGGATAACATGTCGTGAAGTCTCAAGATCACGGCGGTGGTAAAGGCTCCCGCTTGCTGGGAAACGGATACCCATAAACCGTCTCTCCACATCAACGATCTGCCGCATGATTTTAACCCGAGTTTTGGTGTCCATAGAGAACCACTGGTTACTCAAGGGTTTCCCTCTCAGTCTTTCAAGTACAATGTATTCGGCTCCAACAGCATTTGACCGGTCTGCAGAATATGCGAGGATTTTGGGGACCGGTATCCCGTGAGCACGCAGAACCGCAAGCGTAGCAGCTTCACTGGCGACGGCGTAATATTTCGGGACAGTCGTCTTATATGGTAGCCTGGCAAGAATTGCATATCCATCATTAAAGGTAATTTGCAACACGCGGTTAAAGCCCCCCTCGGCGAGTTTCGAGATCGAGGCCACGTTGTTGAAGTGACGGTCGACGGAGTCGCATGCGGCCCTGGCAAGAGCATCGACGTTGAACTGGATGCGACGTTCAGCGAGACGGAGCTTTTCATTAAATCTTGTTTAAGGAAAGCAAGTCAGTCTATCGTAAGATGGCGCGTTCGGCAGCTCGCCGTCCCAACTCACAAGAAGCGCCCCGAGGTATACTCGAACAGATCGGGATTGGTACTCAGGGAGGACATTGCCCTGGGTAGCAGCTTTGCGGGTCGACTGAAAAGTTTTGAAAAGGGTCGCATTTTGACGTCTGTCGGCTTCAAGGTTAGCTACCCCAAGATGCTCCTTTTATATGCACCAAGGAGCACACGCATATGACTCAGCACAGGCAAGGAATGCAAGTTCAAGGGAGCAATCACACGAGCTAGACTATGCATGCAAGACCGACATAGATCTAGTATAGTCTAGTACATGATATTCAGATTAACTTGGAGCATATTCTTTACCTCAACCCTTCTTGAGAATTAGCATAGGTCTACTCGGTAAGTGGTAGATACCAAGGCGAGAAAGATGTATGAAATGATTAAAAGAAAAATGAAATATGAAATTGCTGCTACCAGAGAACTGTACATGAGATCGAACCTAAACAGAACATTATAGAAAAAGGGGAACAAGAGGTCGAAAGGAGCTTTGAGAAAGAAGGAGGAAAAGGGGGAAGGAAGGAAAGTGAGGAGAAACAAAAAGAAGAGAAAAAGAAACAAAAAAAAAAAGACAAGACACTCCTGCTGTAACCATATCACAAACACACATCTTCATCTAAGAGAAACATAGTAAGAAAGGTTATTATTTCCTTTGTTTTTTTGAGGTGAATCTTCTTCTCATTGTTACTGTTGTTTGAAAGCCCGTCCCGTTTCTTGTTGATGTCAATCAACAGGTGGAGGGAGATGGTAGAATGTGAATAAGACAGAAGATCATGGTTTGTTTTGTTTTTTTCTTTCTTTCTCTTTTGGTTTCTTTTTTTACATGCCAGGGGAGATCAGTTTGCCCTCCGCCTTGCTGTTAGGGTGCCAGCCACCGGCGTAGGGAGACTGGCCACCCAGCTCCTGTTGGTATTCCTTGATGCGAGTCTCGAGTTCGGGACGGAAGTGACGGATCAGACCCTGGATGGGCCAGGCGAAGGCCTCACCCAAAGCGCAAATGGTGTGACCCTCGACCTGCTTGGTGAGCTCCTGGAGCATGTCGATCTCACGCTCGCGGGCCTGACCGGTCTCCAGACGTTGCATCATCTGCATGGTCCACTTGCTGCCCTCACGGCAGGGAGTGCACTGACCGCAACTCTCGTGCTTGTAGAAGGTGGACAGACGGGAGATGGCGCGCACGATGTCAGTCGACTTGTCCATGACGATAACGGCGGCGGTTCCCAGACCGGTCTGGGAGTCCTTCAGGGCGTCGAAGTCCATGAGCTGTTCGTCGCAGACGGTCTTGGGGATGACGGGGGTCGAAGATCCACCGGGGATGACAGCCAGGAGGTTGTCCCAGCCGCCGCGGACACCACCGCAGTGGCGGTCGATCAGCTCGCGCAGAGGGATGGACATCTCCTCCTCGACGGTGCAGGGGTTGTTGACGTGGCCGGAGATACAGAAGAGCTTGGTACCCACGTTACGCTCACGACCGAACGAGGAGAACCAGTTGGGGCCACGACGCATGATGGTAGGGGTCACGGCGACGGTCTCGACGTTGGTGACGGTACTGGGGCAGCCGAACAGACCGACGGCAGCGGGGAAGGGGGGCTTCAAACGGGGCTTGCCGGCCTTGCCCTCGATGGATTCGATGAGCGAGGTCTCCTCACCGCAGATGTAAGCACCCATACCACGGTGGATGTAGACGTCGAAGTCGTAGCCGGTGCCGCAGGCGTTCTTGCCGATCAGGCCGGCCTCGTAGGCCTCGTTGATGGCCCGCTGGAGAATGGTCGCTTCGTGGTAGAATTCACCACGGATGTAAATGTAGGCGGCGTTGGCGTTCATGGCACGGCCCACGACGAGACAGCCCTCGATGAGCTTCTGGGGGTCTTTCCGCATAATCTCACGGTCCTTGCAGGTTCCGGGCTCACCCTCATCGGCGTTGACGACCAGGTATCGGGGGCGGGGGTCCTTGTCCCAATCTTTGAAGTTCATGAAGGACTGAATTGGGAGAATTGAAAGGTTAGTCAAATGGTTCAGGTCCTCCCATCCCTGTCGTCCCACGGGGAGTCCGGAAGAATCAAACTCACGTATTTCAATCCCGAGGGGAAACCGGCACCACCACGACCACGAAGACCAGAGGCCTTGATTTCGGAGATGAGCTATTTGAGATGAAAAGAAGAGCCCGTTAGCTTCAATTGTCCATTGAATTGCACATATTGCCATCGAAACAATTCCACGAATTGATTCGGAAGGGAAACGCATACCCAGTCATGACCCTTCAACACGATGTCCTTGGTGCGGTGCCAGTCACCGTACTTCATTGCCGACTTCAGATCCGGACCATGGTGACTGTAAAGATTCGTGAAAATGCGGTCTTGATCTTGCAGACCGCCATGGCCGCGAACGGGGGGGGCGTTGTCCTGGACGGTCGCGAAGGAGCGGGCAGCCGGGCCCTGGACTCGGAGAGACCGGGAGGAAAGGTTGGCGAGGGAGGAAGGCGTGGGAGCCGCCGCTCGAGATATCATGGTGACAGCTGGGACCCAATTGGGGGAGGGGGAATGAGGGGGGAGGAGGAGGAGCAGGGAAGGCGAACGGAACAAGATATGATGCTGTCGTGGAGTTGAGTCGCGGCAATTCCTGCGCTTGCTGAGAATCCGCCTTTGGCCCGCTCCTGATTGGCCATAGTGGCATCACGTGATATTGCTGAGTCATTTCAGATTACTCAGGTTTCGACCTTCCCGATGCGGTAATTTGATGTGTTTGCACTATATACTCCTGACTGTCTACCTACGCCTGCGGAACATACAGATACGACACCGTCGACAGCATCACCGACCCTTGTCCAGCTTCTCCCGTAGCTAACAGTCCCAGCGGATCATCCGGTACCGACACGCTCTCTTGCTCGACAAGCATCCAGGCCCATCGCACCCAGTTGGGGGAAAGCCACCAGTTGTCGCCCTCCCACGCCCCGGTGTACGCGGCCAAATGAGAGAAGACCCCATTGTTCTGGCCTTTCATATCCTCTAGAGCGTCGTCAAACATAGTCAGTAAATATTGATCGTCCTCGTCTTCCACAGCCCAGAGCACATCGTCAGGAGGGGGCGGGTAATTCTCGAGCAGGAAGCCGGCCCATTTGAGTAGCCGAGGCGACAACGGCGAGCCGTTGGGGGAATCCTTCGTGGTCATGTAGGTAGCTGCCACTGCGCAAATGAAAAGAGGGAAGGCAAAGGGATTCTCGCCGCTTCCTCGCAGCATGGGAATGGCCTTCTCTACGGTCGTATTAACCTCTTGGAAGCACGCTTTGCAGGCGGGTTGCATCTCAGCCGGGAGGAGTTTCAGCAGTTCCTCCAGTGCAAAGAGTTCCCCGTTGTTGGCGAGGATGGACTGTCGCTCTAGAATCCGCACCTGGGTCCGGGACTGGAGGGTATCCGGAAACTTGCCTGCCGGGATCCGGCCCATGTGGGCGCTCAAGAGGCGCTTGGTTTCCTCCCAGCTTCCGGTGAAGCTATGCTGCCGCGACCGATTGAGGGTCCATGCCGCAATCACCAGTGCTGTCTCGGACAACATGATCTGGCTGTTCCGGTATATCTTTGCATGAGTCTGCTTGAGGTTGGCGGGACTCTCGAGCCCTTCCGCGGATGATCTCAATTTCACGATGTGAGTGATCAGCTCGATGATGATCTGGCTGATAGCAGCAAGAATGGTCCGCGAATTTCCATAGGCATCGGCAATCCGGACCCCTTGCTCTGAGATCTCTAAAGTCTCTAATTCCCGGTTGTTGGCTGCCAAGATGGACACGCCATTGAACAGCGCCGGGGAGAAGATCGAATGCTCCATGGGGGTATCGGGAGCAAGGAGGGGATAAAAGACATTAAACACGTAGTAATGGTCATCAGCCAGCACACTAGCCATCTCAGGGAACATCTGGATCTGTTGGGCTTTTGCGACCTGAAGCGGACTGCCCGGCGGTGCGCGGAGACTGACGATCCGATAATCACACGGATTGTCCGGAAGACAGAATCCATAGTTCATCATCACTATTGATCTGTCAGTCTTTTCCCTCATAGCATATTGCCCCGGAGAATGTGTCACTTACACTGTTCATTATTCCGAGGCCCGTAGTTGTTGGCAATCTCCTCGCCAGCAGAAACGCCCTCCAACACCACGAATGAAACATCGTCCTTCCCAGCCCGCCACTCCACCTTTGCCAAGGGACGATGATTCAAGACATCAATAAACGGCAAAAGAACCGAGACGTTTTCCTCCGGCAGCTCCTCGTCCGGAATGACTCCAGAGAGTACCTTGGCCGAGAAGGCGCGCGAGACGAAAATCGTCGAAGCCCAAATATAGAGATCCCTAGATCCATCACCACCATCAACAAACTGCCCTACCCTTCCTTAAAAGAACATGAAAAGACCAAAACTCACCATGTATACAGCTCCCACCCCTCAAACCCCAACTCCCCCAACACCTTCGTCGCCCGCTCATACTTCTCTCTCAACAAGCTCGTCTTCTGCTCCCTCGCCGCCAACAGACTCGTCCCGGCCAACCACCCCACATCCCCCTCGCCATAATACACCGGCGTCGTCAATTCTCCCGGCTGCGGCAACGTCCGCAAATACGGGGCCCAGAAGCCGTCCGCTCCGCGCAGAAACTGCCCGATCAGAAAGAAAATCGACGTCTCGTCGGTGCCGACGGCGTCCATGAACGCCCGCGGGAGATGCACCCCGTGCGCGGGGAACACAGCACTCCCGCCGGCGTAGTCAATAGCGTTGAAGTACGACATGGTCGAGGCCAGGGGCGTCTGGATGATGTGCGTGCCGGTGGGGACGGCGCCGGCAGCCCAGTCCTTTCGTACTTGGAGGTGCACGCCGCGACGCTCGTCCTTGGCTATTTGAACGCTTTCATGCAGACGGCCACCGTTTTGGGTCATCCATTGCAGCAGCGTGGTGTATGGCTCTAGACTGTTAGGGGGGGTGGTGTTGGGGCTGTATGCAGTTAGTTACTATGGTCTGTTTGTCTGGGGTTTAATTGGCTAGGTGGGGAGGCGGAAAGGGGGATGCAAGAAAAGAAATGTTGATTCTTACAGGGAAGAGGATGTCAGATCGCTCGCCATGTTGAACAGGAGTGCGTATGTCAACGACGCTGTCTTTTTTTCACGGCGTGAAAAGAAGATAAAAGAGGTGGGGTGGAAGGGCGGATGGAAGATGAATAAATCGTCATGTCCCACTTTTTTTCTGGTGTTCGTCTCCCGTTCGATCTTCGATATTCAGCGTCCACGTATTTTCCTTCGTGGTCTCTGTCCTAAGCTACAGATGGTATAGATGATTAAACGAAGAAAAACATTCACTCTTCTAACGTGGTTATCGTACAACTGCCTGAAAGAGCCCAACCCATCATGAAGCTAAGACATCTTTGCCCCTCCGGCAAAAAAACAAAGTGCCAACAACAAATCAATAACGCCTGTAGATTCATAACCATTTCTCTGTTTCTCTCCTTGAGGACGTGGTGGTGTCCCGTCTTTCTCCCTCCACTCTTTTGGATGCTTCATCCAGCGTAAAGAGGCGCCGCCTTCTGAGCTCCGGTCAAGGGGACTTCGGCTTCACGCATTCCGAAGACGAAACATACAAATGCCATGCAGTCAATAGTGTACATGACCATGAGAATTGTCTCCCGGCCTCACCGCACGTCGGCGCTCTGGACGGAAAACCAATGCGTCAAATGGGGCGAATCAAGCATTTCAGGACTTTCTCCCGGGGACCAGAATCTCGACGAGCCCGTCGTCTTCGCCGTCGCTGCTATCATTTTGTTCATCCCCAAAGGGAGATTCGCCGGAGTGCGATCTCCGAAAGTTCTTGTACCGTCCAGGGCCTAGATTGGGGTATCCTAGTGATTCATTGATGATGGCCTCGTCCTCTTCATCGGAGTCCATCATGTCGGACCCAAGCGATGGGCCGACCATCTCGCCCATGTCGTCATCATCGTCATCAACCTCCAGCGGAACCCGCTCTTTACGTTGACCTCCTTGTGATTGCCCTTCGCCATCGTCGTCGGACGAGTTGGTTGACAAGGAGTCGGGTGGACTGAATCCGGACTCTGGGAACGTGGGCGACGAGAAAGCTTCGTCCTTGTGTGTCGGGGCGAAATCGGTCGACGGGAAGGCGGACCTGGCAGGTGAGTCTGCTCCCTCGCCATCGTCCTCCAGTCCGGCAATCACAAACGGATTCGACGGCCACTGGGAGTCGGTGTTCTCATGGACGCCAGCTTGCTTGTCCTCGTCCTTGTTGTCGCTGTTCTCAGTCACCTGCTGCTTTTGGAGAGCAAGTCGAGCTGCCAATTGCCTTCGCGCCCGAGACGGACCGAGACTCAAAGGAGCCGGGGGCGGAGGAAGAATGGGGATAGGCTGGCTGGAGGCCTATTTGGGTTTATCACAGTCAGTTACTCCTGCAACAAATGTATTGTTTGGGTATATTGGGGATGCAAGTGTAGCAATAACTATACAGAGCGTGAAACAAAAGGAAAAGAAAAGAAAAGAGGGAAAGCCCCACATAGAAAAAGAGGAATGCAATGCTTCATGTATACAAATGCAATGTCATCACCATGGCGAGGAAGCCAAGGGACTACTTATATGACTATGAAGAAAGAAAGGAAAAGAAAAGGAGAACAATGCCAGAGGAAAGGATGCCACACGATTTCCGGGAGGGCTGGGGTTTCAATGGATGAATCCAGACGTAAATGCAAGGCGCTGCAAGCCAAACGCTCAATGAAGTGATTCCTGGAGAACCTCCACCACTCCCCGTCATCGATCATGTGCCATCCCTTCCTCAGCCGTTGGACCGGAGGATAACAACGACGAATGCTGAGATTGGTTAAGAAGCTTAAGACGACGGCGAGACGGGAGAAAGGGGTGTTCTTTGGGGGGGATGGGAACAGAAGCCAAAAAGGGAAAAGAAAAGAGAAAGTGCAAGTCATCAACATCAACATCATCATCATGGGTCGTGCATGTCAACATCAGTAAAGAAATCATCACCCACATTTTCAGAACTGTCTTCGGCGGGTTGTTCGCCTGAGTTCCTATCTTCTTGGTCCTCCATCTCTTCGTCCTCGTCGTCATCGCTGGAGCTAGCAAATCCGCTGAGAAGAGAACTGCCGCCGCCGGCACCGAGACCGAACGCTCCGCCGGACACACTGCCCTGGTTCATATCAAATCCCTGGAAGTTGGAGTTTCCAGCTGACCCGTTGAGGCCGGCCTCAGCAAGGGCGGAAGAGGCGTTCATGCTCTGACCAGAGTTGAGCATGCCCTGGCGACCACCAACCGACATGTCAGGGCGAACTCCACCAAGGATGGCGTTGTCACGCTCACGAGTCTCGGACAGGGTTTGCTCGACGTATTCGATCCACTCAGGATTCAATACATGCTCCATCACGGTTGGAGACAACAGCTCCGGCGGGTGTCGCTCGCTGAACTTGACAACTTCCTCAGCAATCAGCGTCAAGTGGCCCATGTATCCAAGTCGGATCTTCTTGGCACGCTGGGCGGCATCGCTTCTCCTTTGGCCATCCACTATTTCCTGGGTTATCCGGCCGGTTTCAAACACGTTGACAGCCAACGCTCGGTTGTATCCGCGCTCCATGGGGCCATTGAAGACTTGCTGTATAACATCATACACAACATTGTGAAGGAAGTTGTTCCAAGGGAAACGGAAGAAGAAATCCTGTAACACATTTAATCAGCATATTAAAACCCTAGACATTAAAGCACCTTCAATGCGAGCCTGACTCACCAAAATAGTGGGGACAACCCGATTCTTCACAAACATGAGTTTCAGGTAATCACCGACAACCGGCCGGCCGTTGGGGTCAACCTGGACGTCTGGGTGCAGGTGATGCTGGAATTCCTCCTCGGTTTCTTGGGATGTAGACTGCGGCGCAGGCTCCGTCGGACCCGACGCATCGCCGACCTGGCCAGCAGTATCAGGGCTCGGGGTGTTTTCTTCAGGACTCTGAGGCTTCGCGGCAAAAAGAGGAGGCGGCACTGCCTCGGGATTGGATGCCATGGGAGCGGACGCTGGTTCCTGACCCTGGTCGCTTTGAGTCGCGGTTGTCGTTTCCCCAGACTTCGTCTCCGTTGATGCTTCCTTGGGAGTTTGACTGTCAAGAGATACTTCACCGATGCGGTCTGTGAGCCCTGATGCTGTAGGCGACATTGGGTCGGAAGGAGGTGTGTTCGTTTCGGTCGTGTCTATGGTGGCCGTTTCTTTTTGGTCCTGGCTCTTAGTTTCGGGTTCCTTGGCTGTGGCCTCTTCAGAAGTCGAGGGGGATCCCTCTTGTGTCTCTGCAGTCGTTTTCTGAGATGCCGGTTCTTGAGCACTCGGAGTTTTCTCGTCGGACGCATCTTTCTCCTTGTCAACAAGGACGCCGGAGGAGCTCACATCTTCAAACCCATCTTCACCGGTATTCGCTGAGGATTCGAGTACCTTGGAGTTCTCTGCGGTGCCGTCGCCGATGACTGACCCATTGACGAAGTCCGCGGTCGATTCATTGCCGTCGAAACCAAGACCCTCTTGATGCGGGTTCAAAACACCCTCCCGGATCAGTCGCTCACGTTCGGCATCACGTTGCTGTACATACTCATCACTACCCGGCTCGTTCAAAAGTCCCATGTTACTGCAATGCAACAGTTCGGCCATCAACTCGCAGGTCTTGAAACGATCGAACCCTAGCGGTTCGATCTTGGCTCCCCAGGCAGACGTGAGCCGGCCTCGTTCCACGCTCTTGACCTCCCCGCCATCACTGACGGTATGCTTCGAGCTTTGGATGAGGGCCATGAAATCCGGGATGTGCTTTGCGAACAGTCGCAAGAGGTTCCCGAGATAGATGGGGTCGTACGTGGTCGGCATAGATTCGGGGCCATTGATATTATCCGGGTCATAGTCGGAGTTGTTCTTTCGGATCACCTCAATGACAATACCAACGCCAACAGTCAAAGGATTTCCTCCCTGAAGCATGGCCTTGATGAGACTTTCCACGCATGGCTGAGAGACCAACTGGCGGGTCAGGCTGTTGGGTCCAATGCACGACTGGTCGTTCTGCGTGGCATTCGCAGAGATGGTGATGATCGCCTTGAGGAAATCGCCCGCCGAAGTCTGAACCGACGCGGGGCGATCGGTGGACAGGAACGAGAGCAGCATGGGTATGAGGTCTTGCGTTTGCAACCACTAGAGATTGGGTGTCAGCGGCCGGTCCAGTCGACTATCGCCTCTTCGCTCTCCCATAAACTTACATCAACGATCCCCTGGCCACCTTCCGCCTTCTCGAGACTAATGATCTTCAGTAGAAGGTCCATAACCATTGGGTTGTCCACATGCTGGAGAATGGCGGGGATGATGCCATCCAGCGACTTGAAGAACTCGAGCATTTCGCTCGTCTTCTTGTCAAACAGAGTCTCATTTACTTTCGTGAAGTAACTCGCTTGGACCGAATCCAGGGGCGGCGATCTTCTCACGAAGCCCCAGAAATCCCGGAGGTAGCCGGGATTGAGCATGATCGACTCGAGTATCGACCAGATCTCCGACGAAAGAATCTCACAGGCAACATAGGCTCTCTTCAGGCGGTCCTTCTCCGCCTTATCCAGGTCTTCCGGGCCCAAAAGGTCCTTCAGCGGATCACCCCGCTTCTCCTCCTCTGCGGAAGCGTCTTTCGACGCGGGCGCGGCATTACTGTCGTTGGGCTCATCCTCGTCATCGTCGTCGTTCACCAAACTCGGGGCGATCACATAGTCCATAAGACGTTTCAAGACATTATCATCTCGTAAATACTCTATGAGCTTCGTATTGTGTTGCTTCAGCTCCTGGATCAGCTCCGACTCGTCCAACAGCTCCTCGAGGCTGACGTGGGGCTTGTCAAGCAGGGTATCAATGCTTGAGATACTTGCATATCCTCCGAAACGCCAAAACATGATGAATTATATAGTTGGGCGAAATGACTCATGGAAAAAAGAAAAGGAAAAGAGAAAAGGTCGGGGTATCAGAAGCACTTTTCCGTGTGCGCGGCGGGCCGTTCACCGAGTTCCTGCGGGTGAGGTCACTCTTCTATACGGTACAACACCCACACGCA